CCATGGCAGCTCTGGTGGCAGCGGAGAGGCATTTATGGTTGACCCTGTCCGATATGAAAGAGAAGGACAGGGTCTGCCTTATGGATGCCCCGCTTGCGCCTTCTGGTCTGTTCGGCGACGCCATCAATTCTGTTGTCGACAGATACCAGGAGGCTCGTAAACAGGCGGCGGCATTCCAGCAGTTTCTCCCTCACCGTTCTATAGCTCTGGTGGCTGCTGGGCGGGAGCAGCCCCAGCCGGGTAACAGCTCCTCATATAGGGAGGTCCAAAAGCAGAGCGTTGCCTCTCGCGCTCCCCTGCAGCGGAACCGAGGACGGCGGCGCTCTAAGTCTGGGGCTTCTAAGGCGAGGCCTGATCTGAGGGCATGCTTCAGTCAAGGAAGCCCTCGACGAAGCGGTCCTGACATTTTTAAGCCCAGGACTGCTGAGGGCGGCCCCTACTGGGGAAGAGCGGGGTGCACCACATTACACGGTGTCTGTCTCTCCTTAGCGCCCTCAGGAAATCGTTCTGCCAACCCTGCCAGTGTATTTCTCTCTGTATTTTCCGCCTGGGAACGTAGCGGAGCTGAGACCCTCGCCACCCCTTCGGGGGTCTCTCGAGCAGCTAGCTCGGCTGTCTCCTGCCGGTCGCGCTCCCCTGCAGCGGAACCGAGGACGGCGGCGCTCTAAGTCTGGGGCTTCTAAGGCGAGGCCTGATCTGAGGGCATGCTTCAGTCAAGGAAGCCCTCGACGAAGCGGTCCTGACATTTTTAAGCCCAGGACTGCTGAGGGCGGCCCCTACTGGGGAAGAGCGGGGTGCACCACATTACACGGTGTCTGTCTCTCCTTAGCGCCCTCAGGAAATCGTTCTGCCACCCCTGCCAGTGTATTTCTCTCTGTATTTTCCGCCTGGGAACGTAGCGGAGCTACGAAAGCTACGAAATCATACGGAGCTACGAAATCATACTCGCCACCCCTTCGGGGGTCTCTCGAGCAGCTAGCTCGGCTGTCTCCTGCCGGTCCTCCACTTCAGGGCACCCAGCTAGCAGCTCCAAATACACCAGAGACCAGTCTCGAGAGCCTGGTTCCCTTAGTAGATTATTTAGCAGCGTGGAAACTACTGCCAAATGTATCTCGTTGGGTTCTGCAAATTGTAGAAAGAGGCTATCGCATTCAGTTCGGCGCTCCGCCGCCGCCTTTCAAAGGGGTTTTCCTCACACTAGTGGGCCCCGAGCAGGCTCTGGTATTAGAACAAGAAGTGAATACTCTCTTGAGGAAGGAGGCCATCGAGGTGGTCCCTCCTCTTGACAGGGAGTCAGGGTTCTACAGCCGGTACTACATTGTTCCAAAGAAGGATGGAGGGTTGCGTCCAATTTTAGATCTGCGGCTATTGAATCGCTCAGTCTTGCGTCTGAAGTTCAAAATGCTCACTGTCAAACAGGTCGTGTCTCAGATCAGCTCCGAGGACTGGTTTGACACGATAGATCTAAAAGATGCTTATTTCCATGTCTCCGTCCATCCCAGTCACAGGACGTTCCTGAGGTTTGCTTTCAGGGGCAAAACTTACCAATATCGGGTCCTTCCCTTCGGCCTAGCACTCTCATCCCATACTTTCACGAAGCGTGTGGATGCTGCTCTGGCTCCTCTGCGACTCCAGGGCATCCACACACTCAATTACATCGACGATTGGTTGATTTTAGCTCAATCAGAGCAGATGGCGGTTTGGCATTAAGATGTCGATTTTGCTCATATGAAAGAGTTGGGGTTAAGTCTAAACGCCAAGAATAGTGTGCTTTCTCCATTACAGAGGACCACTTATCTGGGCGTGGTATGGGATTTGACCATGATGCAGGCACATTTGTCTCCTGCTCGGATCGAGTCGATTCTCACTGCAGTCGCGAGAGTCGGAGAAGGCCGGTCACTCACTGTCAAGCAGTTTTAAAAGCTGCTGGGTTTGATGGCAGCTGCGTCCAACGCGGTAACAGTGGTGGCTCAAGACCAAGGGGTTCTCCCCGAGGGGAAACCCGCTTCGCATGATCAAGGTCACGCGGTGATGCCTACGTGCCTTAGACATGTGGAGGAAACCTTGGTTCTTGTCTCAGGGCCCGGTGCTGGGAGCTCCTTGTCGCCACGTAGGTCTACGTTCGTGCCCCTTATACAAGCTGGCGCACCAGATCCTTGTGTGGTCCCAGGGCAAACTCCTCTCGCTGAGGCAAGTTCACATTCCTGGGCATCTCAATATGGGAGAAGACATCCTGTCGAGGTAGGAGCCGAGGCCTGGGGAATGGATGCTTCACCCCGAGGTGGTGAAGCAGATATGGAGAGTTTTTGGCCAGGCTCAGGTAGACTTGTTTACAACCTGTCAGACATCACAATGTCCCATCTGGTTCTCTCTGACTCATCCAGCTCCACTGGGGCTGGATGCTATGGTACAGACTTAGCTGAGGCTTTGTCTGTACGCCTTTCCCCCGATCGCTCTGCTCCCGGGAGTTCTAGAGAGAGTGCGTCGGGACGGGGTCTGTCTATTGCTAGTAGCCCCGTTCTGGCCGGGCCGAGTATGGTTCTCGGACCTGATTTCTCTCCTCGACGGCACTCCATGGGAGATTCCCATCAGGAGAGATCTCCTCTCACAGGCGGAGGGTATGTTTCACCTTCACCCCCGCCCAGAGTTGTGGAAGCTGTGGGTGTGGCCCCTGAGGGGGCACAACTCATAGCCTCTGGTCTCTCAACCGAGGTTGTTGAGACCATCCTCCAATCTAGAGCTCCCTCAACGAGGAAACTGTACGCCCTGAAGTGGAGACTCTTCACTTCATGGTGCGGAGACCACCTGCTTGACCCAGTTAACTGCCCGATTGGTACAGTGCTGGAGTACTTGCAGGCCCGTTTCTCCGCGGGGTTAACCCACTCCACCCTGAAGGTCCACGTGGCGGCTATAGCGGCCTACCACGCCCCACTTGATGGTCACTCAGTGGGCAAGGACCCCCTGGCTGAGGCCTCAGGTACGATCTCGTGTCCCTCCTTGGGACCTCGCTGTGGTGCTAGAAGCTCTCTGTAGGCCTCCCTTTGACCCTATCGAGGAGATATCAGATCGTCTTCTTACGTTAAAGACTGTGTTTCTCTTGGCTATATCTTCTCTAAAGAGAGTTGGGATCTGCATGCCCTTTCTGTGGCCCCTTCCTATCTCGACTTTGCGCCCGGTCTTGCCAAAGTTTTTTTTTTTTGTACCCTTGTGCGGGGTATATGTCCCTAAGGTCCCCTCCTCTACACCAGGGCCGGTCGTACTCCAGGCTTTTTATCCTCCTCCCTTCGGGGAGCCTGACCAGCAGAGACTTAATTGTATGCATCTTCGTCAGGTTCTATGACCTAGATTTGCGAGCCACTCCAGGCCCCTCTGTTCTCTTGCCATAGCTGTGCTCTTCCATGCTAGGCAGGGATTTGCAAGCTTGGCGGCATGGACATCTCATTCCCCTAGCGTTTTCCGATGCAGCTCGACTTCCCGAAGGGGAATGTCCCAGGTTACGTATGTAACCATGGTTCCCTGAGGGAACGAGACGCTGCATCGCAAGGCCATACTTCCGGCATCCCTACTAGAGCTTGCTTCACTCCTAGAAGCTAACGCCGGCTGCACCTCACGTGTTTTTAAAGCTTCCTGGTCATGACATCACCCGCCTCTGACGTCTCGCTCATCGATTGGACTGATTACACATATGATTCAGAGCTTGGAATCGCTGAAGGCGTTCCCCTAGCGTTTTCTGACGCAGCGTCTCGTTCCCTCTGGGAACCATGGTTACATACGTAACCTGGGACGTTTTTCTCCACATTGATTTGATTATTAATATCCATGCTAATGATGAAACAGATGCATTGGGATCAGCATATAAGACATTCTGAACTCTATTGGGGTTAGACAACACATGTCAGGACCTACTCATTGTCGAAATCATACTCTAGATTTAATACTGTCACATGGAATTGATGTTGATGGTGTTGAAATTATGCAGCCAAGCGATGATATCTCAGATCATTATCTAGTCTTGTGCAAACTCCATATAGCTAAAGCTGTAAATTCAACTCCTTGTTACAAATATGGTAGAACCATCACTTCTACCACGAAAGACTGCTTTGTAAGTAATCTTCCTGATTTGTCTCAATTCCTCAGCATATCCAAAACCTCAGAACAACTTGATGATGCAACAGAAACTATGGACTCTCTCTATTCTAGCATTTTAGATACGGTTGCTCTTTTACACTTAAGTAAGATTAAGGAAAACAGTTCAATTAATTTGTGACAAGTTTTATAGTTGTGATAAAGTACTTCTGTGTTCTATCACTATGCTCTCCGATGCTGTTTGAATAAAGAGCCTCATATTGCAGCAAAATCAGAATGTAAATCAGTCTTAGCATCTTACTTACAGTACTGACAATAGATTTTGCATCACATAATGTATAAAGAGTTGAGTAGATAGTAAAAGACAAGTCTGTTGAGAGAAGACACTTGATATACTGGGGAGAAGATCAAACTTCAGTCACTCCAGAGCAGGTAAATTGGGGTTGGTTGGATTTCTATAGCTGTAAAAGAAATTCACCTACTTCAACTTTAAAGCTTATTATACCTAAATAAGTATAATCAAATTGGATGTACAAATAAGTTATATAATTTATATTAAACTAACTTAAAAAATAAATCAAGTCAAATATCCTATAGCTTACAAAAATGACGTTGAAACTGGTTAATTTGATGAGTTAAACTAACGAAAAAACACATTGCCATCATTATTTACAGGTTGATTAAAGGGTTTATGTCAAAGGGTGGGTTTTGCATTCACTGATTCTTTCTGCAAGAACATGTTCTGCAGCCATGTCTGCTTGCTCATTTCCAATAAATCCCCTTGACCTTGTCATTTATTTCTTTCAGTCAACAAACCTGTGAAGACAAGATGATACATTACAAGATTCAACTTGTTGTTTTTCTCGGTGAGTGTCAGTGAAAGAAACTGATGTCAGATCAGAGGTTTAGATCAACTTAACACTACTGATTTTCCTGCAGCAGGAATCCTGTCGAAGGCTTCATGTGACCTGTATCGAATCGTCCTGATCGAAGAGCCAAAGACCTGGCCAGAAGCTCAATCGTACTGCAGAGAGGAACACGTGGATCTGGCGACGGTTCAGAGCGCTGAAGACAGAGCCAAACTAAAGGTGGCCGCAAACGCTGTGAACTTTCAATCTGTTGCCTGGATCGGCTTACATATAGTCGTTTGGCGTTGGTCGTATCAACTCACGCCGATCAGCTATTCAATGTGGGATTCCTCTCAGCCGGACTTGTACCACACAATCGAGGCCTGTGGGGCTGTACATAGCAATGGACGATGGGGTGACAGATACTGTACTACTCAAGACAACTTCTTTTGCCAAACTGGTAAGAAATTATACAGTACTCATAGATCTCTTTGATTTGAGTTAAAAAAGCTCTTATCTTAAATCCTTTTGGATCTCCAATAATGTATCTTGATGCAAGGATGATAAGACATTTGTGCTGGAAAACAAGACAAAATACTGAGGAAGTTAAAAAATTTTTGCAGCGAAACCTGACCTCAATGCATTCTTAAATCATGTTTTCCAGAAAACAAAAAAATCTTTATAGCAAGATACGATCAATACCATTGGTGACAAATAAGCAGCCTCAAAGGATAACTGGATTAAAAACAGTTTTATTAAAGACTCTGCAGTAACAAATGTGTTGCGTGTTTTCAGCATAAACATTTAAACAACATAAACATCACTTCTCAGAGCTCCATACAGAGTAAAGCTGATCTGATACAATTAAAACTGTATTATTGAATTACTAATATGTGACCCAGGACCACAAAACCAGTCATAAGGGTAATTTATTTTTTTTATTGAGATTTTTGCATCATCTGAAAGCTGAATAAATAAGCTTTCCATTGATGTATGGTTTGTTAGGATAGGGCAATACAACTATTTGAAAATCTGGAATCTGAGGGTGCAAAAAAATCTAAATATTGAGAAAATCATCTTTAAAGTTGTCCAAATGAAGTTCTTAGCAATGCATATTACTAATAAAAAATTAAGTTTTAATATATTTACAGTAGGAAATTTACAAAATATCTTCATGGAACATGATCTTTACTTAATATCCTAATGATTTTTGGAGTAAAAGAAAAATCTATCATTTTGACTCATACAATGTATTATTGGCTATTGCTACAAATATCCCCCAGCGACTTAAGACTGCTTTTGTGCTCCAGGGTCACATATTATATAGCTAAACAGTGCAATTATCCAATACACACTCCAGACTTAAATCACAGAACTTATGCTATGTTCATCAGTGTCAATTATCACAGTTTTGAATTCAGTCCACCATTTAAATAACGCTGTCGATCCAGAAATTTTTAAATGTGCAGATAGCAGCATGACACATGTATTGCATTCAAAAAAAGTGAGCAAAGAGCTCTGCCTTTATAAAATCTCTTTTCCAAGTCATTTTTTGAGGATGAGTTTGTCCATATTTTCTATGATCAAACTTATAGTTAATTTGGTATGGCACTTCACATTTTCAAGAATGTTTCTCTGTCCAATCTACTCCTTACAGACAATCAGGACACACTTCAGGCAAAGTTTCAGCACATTGAAACGAGCATGACCTGGACTAATGCTCAACTTTACTGCAGAACACACTACGTAGATCTGGCCACCATTACAGACAACACAGAGAACGATTTCCTCGCAAACATACTTTCTTCACTGAATCTCAACGATGCTTGGATCGGCCTGTACAAGATCCCATGGCTGTGGTCGGATAAGAGCAGTGTATCGTGGTCCTCTGTAAAATGGGAGTTTGGACAGCCTGATAACGTGAAGGGAAACGAGAATTGTGCGAGAGCCAATAATGAAGGACTGATGGCTGATGACACCTGCTCAACTCGACTGCCTTTCTACTGCCGCGAAAACAGGAAAATAAAGCATGTGAGATTCACAGTCAAATCAGACGGACATCTGGACGAATCCGCAGTGATGGAGGCCATAGAGAAGAAGGTGAGATTATTCTGCATGTTATTTTAACATTATTAATATGCTATTATAGTTTAATACACAGAATAGTCATTTTAGACTGTTCTGAATTGGTTTTTATTTTCATTTTTTTGGTTTCTATTTTCATTTTAGTTCATTTTGTTGTGCATTTGTGTCACTTGCATGTTTCTAAACATCCTTTAATCAAGATCCATTTACCTGAAAAGCAAAATGACTTAAAATATGTGATTTTTTTGTGTAAAAAACTAAAAAAAAAACCTGCCAAAGGGCTCAGAAAAATCAACTAACTTTCCTTTGAATTGAACCTAGCTTTCCACAGAAATAAGTAAAGGTATTTGTCCTTGTTTTAAGCAAATATAAAAAAAAGAAAAAGAAAATGTGGTATATTTGCTTCTTATCTTCAGTCATTTGAATATTTGTTGATCTAAGAATGTTTATATTTTAGTTAACAGGACAAAAATTCTAAGTAATCCTTTTTTTTGCAGTGTTTATTTTATTTTCAAAACAGTTTTTATTTTTTTAAATAGTTTTAGATTACTGACATCTAAACGGCGGGAGATTGATCTCGTTCACTAATGACTGATGTAATCTGGTGTCTAGATGAAGCAGATCCTCTCAGATCAGCACATGAAAATCAGATCCAGCATACACGAGAGGCAGTGATCATGACCGTCAGATGAAGGCAGGAAACGACCGCATCCAGAAACGCACGAGCGGGAAGCCATCTTTAAAAAGACGCCCGTCGCTCGTGAAGCTCTTTTAGAAATAGCTCTTTTAGAATTTTTGGAAACACTCTTTTAGAGAGAGCGCTGAAGCGCCCAGGGGAGGTCGCGGCGAGACCGCAGAATGAAAGCTGCAGCCCGCCGAGATTTCAGCAGCCTGAATGGCAACCCCCGCTGATACGCCGTCACACCAACGCCAGCTGTTTCTCTCGAACACTCGCGGAGATTCGTCCTGTAGAAGGCTCGGCTCCGAAGCGAAAAGCTGATGTGCGTTTGCACGCGCTCTCCTTTTATATCCGCGCTGCGGGGCGGGGTGCGCGTGGCGAAACACGCACGCCAACTGTCATTGGCTTGTTTAGTTAACACTCGAAGGTGATTGGGCTCTCGGGCGAGATCCCAATTCGTCAGTCACTGACGTAACGTTGAACGTGACTGACTGAATGGGAACTAAAAAAAAAACCTGCCAAAGGGCTCAGAAAAATCAACTAACTTTCCTTTGAATTGAACCTAGCTTTCCACAGAAATAAGTAAAGGTATTTGTCCTTGTTTTAAGCAAATATAAAAAAAAGAAAAAGAAAATGTGGTATATTTGCTTCTTATCTTCAGTCATTTGAATATTTGTTGATCTAAGAATGTTTATATTTTAGTTAACAGGACAAAAATTCTAAGTAATCCTTTTTTTTGCAGTGTTTATTTTATTTTAATTAACAAAACAGTTTTTATTTTTTAAATAGTTTTAGATTACTGACATCTAAACGGCGGTAGATTGATCTCGTTCACTAATGACTGATGTAATCTGGTGTCTAGATGAAGCAGATCCTCTCAGATCAGCACATGAAAATCAGATCCAGCATAGCATGGAGCATCCAACCTGACGGGAAGATCTTCCAGCGGCAGAAAACACAAGGAAACACACAAGATGTTAGGTGTTAGAAGGTGTTTGGTCCAATGAAACACTAGTCTCTGATACATGCCATAACTTGTCCAAACATGAACGAATCTTTAAGGAAAAGGCATTCATAATAAATGATAGATGTTCAACACCATCACATTTTAATTAATACAGTCGATGCATGGTAAATTATAAAATAATGGTGGAAAACAAGCGGTTATGTACAGCTAAAAATAGCTGGAAGCGGAAGACACCAGAAGAATGTCCACACATGCTCTTACAGGAAAAATAAGGTGGATAAAGAACAATTCTCACTATTAACTAGCATGCATTTACTTGCATATTGGCTGTTTATTAGTACTTATAAAGCACATATTAATGCCTTATTATTCATGACCATATTCTAATCCTACCCCACACTTAAACTTAACAACTACCTTACTAACTATTAACCCCTTAAGCCTAAAGTTTACCACCCCACGAAAATATTCATAATCTAATTACTAAGCAAACACTAAAAGGAATAACACAAAATAGGTCTCATTTTAAAGCTTAGAAACTCAGCTGTTTAGTGCAATTCTTAACAAGTGCTTGATCAACACCAAATAGGTGTCATATGAAAGCTTAGAGTATGAACTTTACATTGCATGTAGTCACGCATTTAAGTAGTACCGAGTTATTTGCTGATAAATAAGAAAAGCATGTTTTCATAATTTATAATACATAGTACAAAAATCATATGGCAAAAACATCACTCAGCTCAGATAGTAATGTGCCATATATCATTTGAAAGATCTCGGAGTAGAATACAGCAATTTGTCAGGTTTTGCTTTTAGCTTCATAAAACATGTTCAGAAATCACAGCATTATTTACAGCAGATTCTCCCATTAAAAAGAGCCCAAACTCACCATAATCCGTCACTTAGATCTAAAGATATTTCATCAACAGTATCTCAGCATGACTTATTTACTTATTTATTTAAGAATATGTTTTACTTTAAAAAAAGAAGCTAAAAACACTGAGGAAGAACATTCTTGCAGTCTACTGTAAATAACATTAAGAACATTTTCTCAAGTTTTACCTTTCACTCAAATTGTTATGCTGATAATATACTCTGCAATATGCAATTTTCCGTTTATTTAGTCATTTCTTTAGAAATTAATTTTAGAGAGCAACCATACATTTGGTTTGTTTAACTTTCTTTAAAATTAATTTATTCTTCATTCACATAGGATTTATCATTAATTAATTTAATTTTTCCACTTAATCATATAATAATTGTAATAATGTATTTACTCATATCATTGATTAATTCAAGGATTAGTCATTTAAATGATTTGTCCATTGCTGTTTAGTCTTCTGATTGTGTGCTTCCAGTGGATATTTGTCTTCATGAGTAAGAGATCAGAGAATGTCTCGGTTTCAAGGATGACGTAGTGAAGCACTCATTTTCCATTGCTGTGGTTTGTGCTATAATAACACTTGTTGGATTCAGATGAAGTCTGAGCACTGAAACCTGCAACTAAGATTATTCAATAACCTCTGCTCATTTTATCACCACTTTGTCTCCTGCTTCTGCTCTTCTCTGGCTTTCTCTGTCAACCTTTTGGCTGACAGAAGACTGTTAAAATAGTTTTGACATCAAATTCAAATAAAAATGATTATATAAACAAACAAACAAAAAATAGTTCTGCACTGTTTGCTCTGCAAACCTTTCTGTTACCAATCTTTTCCATCCAAGTTACACCACACGTTCAAGCCTGATTATTTAATTATAGGTTGTGTAATCTATTATTTGTCTGTAAATTATTATTATTATTATTAATAATAATAATATTATACTGATTTCTGAAGATCATGTGACACTGAAGACTGGAGGAATGATGCTGAAAATACAGCTGCGCATCACAGAAATACATTACAGTTTAACACATATTCACATAGAAAACAGCTGTTTTGAAACATAATATTTCACATTATTTACATTGTATTTTTAAATCTAATAATCTAATTTATCAGCCAGAAATGTCTCCTGCACAGCGGAGCTAGTACGGTGGTATAATTCAGCAAGTGTATACTGTTGTAAAGTAGATATTGCATTTGATATGCGAGTGGTAAGGATAAATGTGCAGACAACAGAATGTACACTTATGACCACGTGACCAGCAATGTATGGCATGCTGGCATCCACCAGATCCCTGGATCCCCCCAAACAACATTGCTGGTCAGTCATTCTGTAACATGTACACATAATGATCCAATAATTATAAAAACAAATGATATTAAATGAAAAGGAAAGGGCATCAGAAACATATTCATTTGGCTGCAGCGATTTCATTAAATGACGTCATGGGAGTGCACAAGTAGGGCAGTTGAAATTTGGCTTGGTTCTAACCGGACCACAAGACATAATAACAATGACAACAGCATGCTACAGTTTCTACAGTTCGTCACAACAACAGAGATGTACACAAGTACTTAGAGTCGTTTATGGTAATGATATATTCAGTGTTGTTGGTAACGCATTACAAGTAACACGAGTTACGTAATCAGATAACTTTTTCAAGTAACTAGTAAAGTAACGCATTACTTTTTAATTTACAAGAAAATATCTGAGTCACTTTTTCAAATAAGTAACGCCAGTTCCCTTTCAGTCGGTCACTCTCGACGTCACGTCGGAGGACCGACGAAATTGGGATCTCGCTTAGAGGGACCAATCTACTTCGAGTGTAAACTAAACGAGCCAATGCACATTGGCATGCGATTATTGCATCCAGCTGCTGCTGATCACAGCGTGAGTATAAGTAGGCAGCAGGTGCAGCGCATATTCAGGTTTTCGCTGAGGAGCCGAGCCGGTGACCCGGCCGCTCAGCGGTGGTACAGGAGCTGTGGCGACGGGACGTGACGTCTCCGTTCCCTCCTTCAGGGAACGAGGGTTACATACGTAACCGAGACGTTACTTTTTTTCCCATTTATTGATTGAAAGTTCTTCTGTCCCCTTGTTTAAAGAAATCAGGAGCAAGATGTCACGTTAGTTCTAGAATAAATGTGAACATGCATTAGTTAACAACAGAGATGTACACAAGTACTTAGAGTCGTTTATGGTAATGATATATTCAGTGTTGTTGGTAACGCATTACAAGTAACACGAGTTACGTAATCAGATAACTTTTTCAAGTAACTAGTAAAGTAACGCATTACTTTTTAATTTACGAGAAAATATCTGAGTCACTTTTTCAAATAAGTAACACCAGTTACTTTTTTTCCCATTTATTGATTGAAAGTTCTTCTGTCCCCATGTTTAAAGAAATCAGAAGCAAGATGTCACGTTAGTTCTAGAATAAATGTGAACATGCATTAGTTCATCTCACTCACTCACTCACTGACAAAAATAAAATAAAAATCAGATTTAGTTTTCCTCAAAATTAATAAAAAACAGTTAAAAGCAACTCAGAATATGACTCAAAGCTGCAATAATTAAATATGTTAAATAACACAAATGTATCTAATCCCATTTTATTAACCAATTTGCTGCTGACCTTCGGTGATACGATTCAACCGTACTAATAAGCACAAATTACTCTAAACTAACATTTCTTCTTCTTTTTCATTGCTGACGAGTGTTGAACTTTCTTCTTCTGTGTTCTACTGTACAGACGTGAATTTACATTTCCTTCAGCCTGAGGCTTTTGGTGTGAAAGGGCTTTTACATTTGCCAAAAATAGAACTTTTTATATTAAAAGCAAACAAGCAAGCCCACACTGTAAAAGAAAAAAAAAGTGTAATTTTAACTGTACAATTTAGTGAAAACGCTACGGGGGGGAAAAAATTGTAATAGGTTAACAATAAGTTCCCGTACTATATACAGGGAAAAACTGAAAAGATCTAACCAGACAGTTCATGTAATTTTACAATAAAATGCTGTTAATTGTACAGTTTTTAGAAGTAATAATTTGAAAGTATTTTGTTTAAATAATCATGTTTTTTTAATAGTTTTTGTTATCAGTTATGTACATTTGGGCTTTATGTTACATCTTCTGTTGTTTAA